TTTTAATTAATTAATTAATTAAATTAAAATTAATATTTTTATATAATTTTATATAAATTAATTATAAAATGATATATTTATTGAATAATTGTGTTATTGAATCATTAATTTAGCAAGTCATTGTTATTTCTTTAAATAAAAATATGATAATGATTAATTGACAACGAGTTTGCCAATAGAAGAAATCTCCATTATGCAGCCATAGTTCCGCACAAAATATTCCTTGAAGCCAAATTTTGAGTGAAAATATAGAATAAATCCTAAAGATAGATAATCTTTCTGTTAAAAATTGTATATTTAGATAGGAAAAAAAGAAAATTTACTATCTAATATAAAGATTCAAAAAATTTACATTTTTAAATAAAAATAATAAAATTTGTATTTTTATTTGAATTTTTTCTCAAAGTCCAAGAGGATGGTTGTTTTATATATTTGAAAACTATATCTTAATTTTAAAGTTGATTTTGTGAATTGTTGAATACATTCAAGGAGAAAAAAAAATTTGTATTAAAAATGTTAAAATATTTAATAATAATTACGTGGTGAAAGTAATAAAATTAAAATTTATATAATATCTCATGTATTTAGTAATTGAAGAGGGTTAGGGTTTGTGCCCTAAACTTTTTAAAAAGAAATCAATTAGTCTGGTAACTTTTATTTTTATTATTTCTAACTTTATTTATTTCATAGTATTTTCATTTTTTTTTAGGTTTTTTCCTATTGTAATTACTAAAAAAAATCAGCTCAACCAGTGTATGAACTAATTTTTGCTTCTGAAACTCAAACTTTTTAAGTCCCTAAATTCTCCTTTGCGGTTAAAAAAAAAAAATCTGTTAAATTTTATCATTGATACAACTCAATGATAAAATTTCAATTTGTCATACATTAGCATTTTTATCAGCATTCGTACAAAAGGAATTGTGGAGATCAGGAAAATACAATAAAAAAAATTATATCCATTTTAAGTGAAATACCCTTTAACTAGGGGTATTTGCGATTTGGATGGATTGATTCGTTATTATTTTTTTAATTTAATTTAATTTAAAAAATATCAAACTAATTTAATATATTTAATATACTATAACTAAATCAATTAATTATTATTGGATTGAATTGGATCAAATTTGATTAATTGATTTTGTCCCAAAAATACATTTTTGAGAGTTCGAGTGTATTACTCTTCCTTTCTTGAATTTCTATCATATAAAAACAAAAGAAAAACCGAGTAAATTTATAATAAATGGAAGTATTGTATAATACAATTTTAAGATTAGGATAAATAAATGATGATAATATAAGAACTGGAAAAAAAAATCCCTTTTTTAATTAATTCTTTTAATATTTGTTCAGATTAGATGGTCATAAAATAAAATTACAAACTAAATCAATTTAATCAATTTTTAAAATTTTAATATTATTTAGATAAAATAATTAATATAGATAAAAATACATATTATTAAAAATTTTCATTTTAATAGTATTTTTATGTAAATATTGTATAATACAATTTTAAGATTAGGATAAAT